GTCTTTGGAACCTCCCTTCAGGAAGTTGAAGGCTGCTCTCAAATCCCCCCTCGCTCTTCTCTTCTGCAGACTAAACAGACCCAAATCCCTCAGCCGCTCCTCATAGATCATGTGCTCCAGCCCCCTAATCGTTTTGGTTGACCTCCACTGGACCCTCTCCAATGCGTCCACATCCTCTCTATAGCGGGGGGGCCCAGCAGGAGCAGCTTGAGGTGAGCTGCCGGCAGCTGGCGCCCCAGGCAGAATGCACCTCCACAGCCCTCAATGGCGTGACGTCGTCATTGGGTGCCCCGTTGAATGCGGCGCCCTAGGCAACTGCCGAGGTTGCCTACATCCACGGGCCATCCCTGAGAATATCGTATTGCCTCCGTATAACTCCCTGGTACGTCCGCAGCTTGAACACTGTGTACAGACGTGGTCGCCTCATCTCCAAAAAGAGCAGAGCTGAGGAGAGTCATGGAAGCTCTGCAGCGCTGGCTTTTGATATTAAAAACGGCCTCAGTTTGGTTTCACACGCCAGCCCAAACGCGCGCCGTGACTGCTCTGCCCGAGGACGGTGCATGGACAGGCCCAGAGGGCGTCGCCATGTCTGTCGGCATCGGCAAAAGCCACGCGGAGCCCAGTGGCAGCTTAAAGACAAATTGGTTTATTTGGGCATCTGTGAAACCCACCTCGTCAGCGGGCGGCTAAGCACTTGGGAGAGCGTCAAGCTCGCTTTCCAAATAGCCATGAGCCCGGCTTGCTTGTTCTCTCCTGGGCGTGTCGCCTCGCCACGGCTGTCCCGCGTTTCCGTGTCGTGAGCCACCGCCATCTGCATCGTGGTGGCCCTTGCAGGGAGCCGTCTGGCCGTGAGTGAGGCTGTGTCAAGGCCTGCAGAACCGCTAGCTGTGCGGTAAAAGGCGCCTTTCGCTGCCCTCTGCTGTCTCTTGTCTCGCCTGCGGGACACACTGACCGTATTGATTCTCACAAGCTGTGGTTCACCTCCGCTCGCCTCCTTCGGCCGGCCAGGCAGGGGCTGTTTCCGGTTCTCGTGGTTTCAGTCAGCCGGGTTTCCGTCACTTGCCAGGGGCACAGACATGCCGGCCAGGGGGCGTCACGTGTGCCTCTGTTTTGATAAAAGGCGTATATATATATATATATTCGCAGGGCTCGCCAGCCACAGATCGCCCGAACCCGGCTCTTCCAGGTTGCAATCTACACGCCACGGGCGAGTAGATTGTTTGTCGAGCCCTGTATATTCGCATGCAAATTGGGGGCACTTAAAACTGGAAGGTCTCAGCGACATCTGTCCCCTATGGATTTGGGTGGGCCCTGGCTCATGCGTTACTGTAGGTCAGTGTTTCTCATCCAGTGGTACGACTACTCGTAGGGGTACTGGAGACCTCTGGGGGGGTACGTCAACCCAAGTGAAATTTGGAGAAAACTGAATTTGCGTGTTAAGTTTTCCAGCACTTTATTATTTTTGTAGTTTTTCCACCCAAAAATTTCATCGCCCACCCGGCTGCGATTAAGTTGTTTAAACAGATGTGTTGCGATGGTAGAAAAGAAATGTGTGTGTCTGAAAACTGTAGGTACTGGGGGGACTTATAATTTTTTTCAAGGGGGTACCTTATAAAAAAGGTTGAGACGCACTGCTGTAGGTGACCAGGAGCTCCCAAATAACCGGCACTGATTATCATCGCCTCTGATTCCTCTGCCTTGCCACCCCTGCCGCTGCCTGTTACCTGACCAGCCCCAATCTGCCCCACTGCTCCTCACACAGTCCATTCGTGGCGTTTCCTGTGGACCTTTTCTAAGGAGGCTCGATCCTTTGGGAGAGGAAATGAGCAATCTCACCCTGGTACTCGGGGGGAGGCTTTTCACCTGCATGGGTACATAAAATCTCTCACATTGAGAAGAACGATTCTCACTCGTATGAGTGGATTCGTCTAGTCAGCCTAGCGCAGTGTATCTCAACCAACAATGTTATCGCCCACCCAACTACAATTAAGTTGTTGAAACAAACGTGTTGAAACTGTAGAAACAAGATTTGTGTGTCTGAAAACTGTAGGGTCTGTGGGTCTTTATAATTTTTTTTAAAAGGGTACTTGATTAAAAAAAAGGTTGAGGCACAACTTAGACCCTTCTGAAGTTCCTTACAGTCTCCTCCCGTGCTGGCTAATTGAAATAATTGTTCTCTACTATCTTGCTGCTCGTTCCCGTTTCCGAATTGTTTGGCCACGTATTTCAAGCTGGCCCAGTACAGCACCGTGGAGAGGCAGGGTTGTCA